AGGGACCGCCGGGAGGGAAGGGACGGGTGGCGGCGGCACCGGGGAGAATCGACGGACGGGCAGTGCTGGGGGTGTGGGTCGTGAGGCGGGAAAGGCTGCGCAAGCGCAGTGCTCGTGTGCGGTGGCTCGGCGTGGTCGGGGCGGAGTGGCAGGAGAGAGCTCCTCTTCTGGGGCTCTTACCTGCTTTTGAACACCTTTCCCGGGGATCTTCCCTGGCTTTGAGCGGCTCGGAGACTTCCCGGGAGAGAGTTAGAGTGTTTATGCGATTCCTAGAGCTGAGTCTCGCGAAAAAGCATACCAAGCGTACCAAGGCTGAGGAAGCTGGGCCTGTTCAGGCTGGAGAAGAGAGTATTGCATGGAGATCCCTTAACTGTCTTCAGTATCTGAAGGGGCCTACCAAGAAGCCAGAGAGGATCTTTTGTTATTGCAGTGATAAGGAGTAACAAGGAATGATGAGTACAGATGGGAAAAGAAGTTTAGATTAGATATTAGGAAGAAATGTTTTATTGTATGAGTGGTGAGACACTGTCACAGGTTGCTCAGCGAAGTTGTGGATGCCTCATCTCTGTCAGTGTTCCAGGCCAGGTTGGATGGGGCTTGGAGCAACGTGGTCTAGTGGAAGGTGTCCCTGCTCATGGCAGCAGAGGTCTTAAGGTCCCTTCCAACGCCTTAACATTCCATGATTCTATGTAATGGTTTTGTTTAGGGATTGTCTCAATTGAAAAGGTCCCACTTCACTGCGTAATCATTACTCATTTTTGGGATGGCAAAATCATACTTAATCAGTTTACAAGTCTTTTCAGGAGCAGCTAGAATTGTGCAGTGCCATGGTAAAGTACAGAGCTGTGACTGCACCTTAACAGCCTCTTCCTCAGGGTCAAGGTCAGTGTGGAGGCACTGAAGGCCAGAGTTACAGTAAAGCTTTACTGTTAGGTTGCTTCATGAGCAATACGAGTAAAAGTATTTTAATGTAAGCCTTAGTTTGTGTTAAAAGCACTAAAATGTTCACAGTGGTTAGAAAGACTTGAAGCAGCATCTTGAGTGAGGACAAAGCAGCTGCTTTGTGATACTCAGCACAGTGAGTCCTGTGTCTGTGTATGCCACAGCTTTGGCTTTGTGAGGATCTTCTGCACCTCTGTAGAGACATCTGGACATCTGTAACTCACCAAGGCTGATTCACCTGTATCATTACTCTTGGGTTTTCTCCTTCTGGGAACACTACTACTGTCTAAAGTATTTTTTTTTTTTTTTAAAGTGCTGTTTTCAGCATGATCCCATCTCTAAAGCATAAAGTCTTTTCTGATTTATGTCCCTGATTTTATTTCTAAGATATGAGTTCATGAAAATTATTTTAAAAACATTATACCCCAATACTGAGTAATCACAGATTTTTTTTTTTTTGTATAATTTTTCACATATAACCTCTTGTCCCTTAAAATGAGGGCCTTAAGCATCAAATATAAGTTTTGTGGTAATAATTTGGAATTACTAACAGTGCAACATTGCCAGTTACTCTAATGCACTCTAGTTTCATCTAATGTTTTAGTTAATTCTGACCTGTAGTATAGAATTTCACTATTCTACTTGTGCTGTATTAATGTGACTGCCATAAATTCAAATTCCTGGTTGTTTTATAGGAGCTCTTCGAGTAGTACTGCTCTTGGGAAGACTGTGGACAATGCACAAGGTAAGTTGTCTTCAAGTTGAAGTATAAGTTGTATAGTTCCTTGCATATATTTTTTAATCTAACACAGTGTGTCAGGAGATAAGATGTAAACACCTTCTTTCCCCTCCTTGGTTTTTCTTTCTCCCTGTCTTCATTGTGCATAAATTTCCTTGCTTAACTTGATTCCTTATATTATTACCAATCAGCTCCGTGTTCCAGCAGCATGAATTGAGTTGTGCAGCTCCATGAGCCTACCTTAGACTGATTTTTAAATCCTTAGTTTAGTACTTTCAGCTGGATCAGCTTAACTCATCAAGTTTTGTAGAATCATAGAATTGCTTGGGTTGGAAAAGATCTCTGAGTTGGTGGAGTCCAGCTCTTAACCTGGGACTGCCAAGGCACATCTAAACCACATCCCTGAGTGCAACATCAACATGCCTTGAATCACTCCAGGGATGGTGACTCTACCACTCCCCTGTTCTAATGCTTGACAAGCCTTTCAGTGAAGAAATGTTTTCCTAATACCCAATCTAAATTTCACCTGGTGCAACTTGAGGCCTTTTGCACTTGTCCTACCATTTATTACTTGGGAGAAGGATCGACCCCACCTAGCTACAACTTACAGGGTCAAAAGTTTCTTTGAGCATCTCTTTGTTTCTAATGACCATTTTAATATTGTTTCTCACAGTAACTCAGGAAGAAATTGTGCTTCCCCGAAGGAAAACATGGTGAGTGTTTACTTTAGGAATTCTTTCTTGGTAGAAAATCAGTCTTAGACAACTAAATGTAGTTTGTCCACCAGATTTAAAAAAGAAAGTTGAGGTTCCTGTGTTCCTTGATTCAGTGTCCCACTAGTGGTTTTCCTGCTGATTTGGAGCTCTGTGAATATTTTTAATTCTTACTCTCTCTCTGCAGATTATGTTCACTGCATTCTTGACATTTCTTTTAAAAACACAACTACTGCATTTTTAAGCATTTTTTTGTAAAAGATCGCATTTGCTAAAGATCTGTAAAACCAAGTTCATTTGGCTGTTTGCATGTGAATGTGTTTCTTCCAGCAAAATAAAACTTGATCACTGATAGCTGACTGAAAAAATCCTGCTTAGAAATCATACTGCTGAATAAAGCCTATTTTGTTGGTAGCACTTAAGATGGAATTGCATGACTGTACAGCAGAAACTAAGTTTATGGTCAAATGGTGTCAGCATGTAAACCTAAAGTAAGGCCATCTTCACCTAAACACTTCCAGTGGCCTTTCCTTGTTTGCTTGTAATAAGCAAAGTGTTCAGGTTCCACAGGCACAGGGATCCTGGGATACCTGGTTTTGGTTTGTTTGTTTGTTTTTCTTGTAAAGACCTGTCTTGTAGAGTGACTTTAATATATTTATCCCTCAGAGATGCTCTAGAAGCAGCATTCCAAGGAATTATTTATGTGGCTCTTCCCTGTGATACTCCTTTGATAATGTATTATAAGGGCAGGAGTAATAGCTGAAAACAGATGCTCTTGTGGTTTTCCTCAAAATCTTTTAAGTCCCTGGGGTTGTTTAAGAACTGAGACCATTTTTGCGTTTTCTCTTTCTTTGTGAGAAGTGTTGTTTTCCTAGTGCAGCAAAACCATTATTTCCTAGAACTGAAAATCCTTGTGGGTCAGGATAATCCTGTGCTTGTTCTCCAGACAATGTAATGCAAGCATTCAAAGTCTGTAACTGAGTATTGACTGAACTCCTTTGTGTTTAGGGATAAGCTCGCAGTGCTCCAGACCTTGGCTTCTACTGTGAACAAGGTGAGTGGTTCTGTGGGTCATAGAACTGGGTCAGGTTGTCCATTTTGTGCAATACCCTTATGCTTTCACCAGTTCAGCTTCACAATCCAGACCATCCTTCCCAATCTCAGTCCAGAAAGGCTTTAAAAAGTGCAATTAGTGTCTGTTCTCGCTGGGCAAAACCTGGAAATGCTATGATGCTGTTCTTAAATCCCATCTATCTTAAATTCCGTGAAATGAATCAAAACTTGCCAAGTCCCATCAGCTTCCCAAGACTGTTAGACTTGGGGCCCTATTTGCTTTGCAGGGCACTTGCTGCTTGATATGTTATAGGAAGGACCCTTTTTTGTCACCACATTAGCCTCTGTGTGTGTGTGTAATGGAAATATTTTTTAAACTATTTCCAAACAGACTAAGCCTTTTTGAACAAGGGGAACTTCTGTAAAATGTGCATTGGTGGGGGTTATGATGGAAGAATTCATTGTGCCATGAGGCAGTGTGTTGTGCCTGTGCACATAGTGATAAACTTTTCAATGCTGGGCTCTTCTTTCTACAGGATCCTACTGCTGCTCATTACATGTTCCAGGATGACCCTTTCCTTATGCCAAGAAATGCAGCTAATTCTGTATGTATTTCCTTTCACATCCTTGATAGCTTCCCTACTGCCTTTGTCTAGGCTGTGAATACTCTCACCTAATTGAAGCCTGGTTTTGATTTCAAAAGAAAATGAAGTAGCAGATTACTTTCACAATTTTCTCTTCTCTCTTAAATGAGAGATGTTTTTGAACTTGAGGTAGTAGTGCAACATTTCAGATGTCTGAACTGTGTCCCTTGACTAAGTAACAAGGAAATAGAATACAATGGTATTTAAAGAATAGACATTCTTATATTGGCACGAATACCAAATGTTGTCCCTGTGATTGTAGTAAGTTGAAAATTATACATGAGTTTAATCTGATCCCATCAAATGTTCATTGTTAAAGAAAATTTTTCTCCTAATTTTCAGCCTTGTAATTTGTGTATTTCTCCATCTTGTTCTATCTCATTTTTTTGCAGCGTCTGTATTCATTGTCAAAGGAGTCTGGGAGAAATGCTGCAAAATACATCATAAAGAACTTTCCTCAATATTTTGACAAGACTTTTGCAGAGCCAAACATACCAGTAAGCTTTCTGCTTTTTCTTTTCATTGTATTTGTGCTTTCATTTTTTTCATTTGTATTTGATTGTGAAATCAACTTGGACTGGTCCAAAACTAAGATAAAAGGGTAATTTTTTAACTGTTTTGCAGACAGTATGAGCACAGTACTGTATTTCCATTATGTTTCTGTAGCAGACATTTTTCCTTGGGAGTTCAATATCATAGCAGGTTCTTGAGATAAAAGTAAGAAAAGCAGTGTTGTTTAGATGTTGCTTCCTGGCATAAAAGTGAGGGATGAGGATCCTTTATCACCAAAAGGACTGCTGTTGTTGGGCTCCAAACAGTGTATTGGGTGAAGAGTAAGGATATCTATAAATTTATGACTGACTTCCACTCTTGCTTTTAGTGCCTGATGCCTGAGAGTCTCACACCTCAGACTGAAGGAGTGAGCGAGGAAGCTCTAAGAGAGCGCATCCACCTCAGGATGGTGAAAGAGTCTGTGGACATGTTTGATCAGCTTCTACAGGGAGGTATGTGATCACCTGCCAGGTTCTGTGGTGGAGCTCTATGTGAATTGTGCCAAAAAATACTTCAGCAGCTAGCACAGGCTATGGAGACAATTTTGTGACTGTTGCTCTTTTCACGCCTGACTCTGGTCTGGTGAAGTAGTTCTCTGTAATTACTGGAGAATTTTAGCCACTGCTTGTCTGACATGTCACTTTGGTGATAAGGAGAAGATTTCCTGAAGAGGAAGCAGATAAAATACTTTTGTTGGTTTTGAATGTTTCATAGAAAGTGAAACATGCAAAGTGTTCTTCACAGCAGGGTGTATCCTAGGAGGAGTTATGAAAAGCATTAGAAATTTCAGCTGCTGTGTTGGGCTTCACAGTTCTGGCTGTCAGCTGTCACTTCCTTCTACTTGGTCAGGAAAACTCTACCCTTTCAGTGGCTTCAGTAGAAAAACACTCTGTTTCAGTGTTAAACTTGTCTCCTGTGATGAGTGGGTTTGTGGCAGTATTGGTATCACAGCAGGGTTAGGGACTTGCTAGAGAATGACTGTGTTGGAAGAGAGCAAAGTGGGGTTCAGAGGTTCTCTGATATGGCTGCAGGGTGGTGAGCTCTTCACTTTCTCTGACTGTCATAAATTCTCATTTTCTACAGGTACCCCTGTATCTCTGGAGACCACAAACAGCCTTTTAGATTTGTTATGCTTCTATGGAGATGGTGAACCTACTCCTGAAAATGAGCAGGAAGAAAAAGAAGATTTGGAAGAACCAGAGGTATGGAAAACTTGTTGATCTCTATTTATTTATTTCATACATAGTGTGAGTATATTAAGGTGACATCAAGATTTTTGTACTGTCTGCATGGGAGATGTCATGAGGTGGATAAGATGCAGTCAACATTCCCAGAAGATACTTCTGTTATAAAAATCCATGACTGGCCTAATAGCAACAGTGGTTTGTGTAAAGCTGTTGATATGTTCAATAACATAAACATTATTCTCAATCTATTGCTTCCTGAATGTTATGGTATAAATTATTCTAATATAACCCACTAAAAACACCTTCGGTCCATGCTGCTGAACTTTCTGTTAGCAAATCATGTCATTTGATGTTAAATCTTAATTTAACACTGAGAAGCTTCTTTTTGCAAAAATCTCTCCAGGTGAATGCTTCAGAGCAGAAAGCTCCAAAGAGACAATTTGAAAGAGGTTCACAGTCATCTGGCCCCAGATGGAGGTATAAAAAATGTTGCCTACATTCCCATGTTCCATGGGTTGTGCAGTTGCATTGTTGTTATAGAACAGACCTAAGTCTTTTAGCAGCCCATACTCACAGGTGTTGCTTGTCAAATAAACCTGTGTTTGCTGATCTTTTAAAGTGTTCATGGAAATCTGGGAGGTGTATCAAGTATCACAAGTCTGATATGTGAATGTCAGTCTTGAGGGGTACAGCCCTTATTTATCCTGTATGTTGAATCCTTCTCCTAATAATATTTTTATTTAGTTCTTTAACATTTATCTTGTTCATTGGTTCTAGGGAGAACAACCATGCTGAAAGGATATTCAAGATAATGCCAGAGAGGAATGCACACTCCTATTGCACAATGATCCGTGGGATGGTGAAGGTAAAGTTATTCTTCAGTGCTGGGGGATTTTTTCAGCTTATGAGATTTCACATAACCAAGGGTTGATTTTTTGTTTTGTTGTTGTTGTTTTTGCAGCATGGGGCTTATTCTAAAGCTTATGACATGTACATAGACTTGCTGAATGAAAGGCACAAGGGTGAGTGTGTCCTGGTTGTACTTTGTGGTCTCCTGAGTACTGAAAGCCCCTGTTGGGCACAGGAATGTTTGTTCATGGCAGTGATGATTGGCGCAGGGGTACGGACCTCAGCTGGATCATGGGAGCTGAATGCAAACTGGTAATTCCAGTGCAGCTGGCACGTGGCTGGCTCACTGGAAACAGGTTTGCATGAGACTTTGCCAGAAACTGAGCCATGCTAGAACAAACTCTTTCCTGTAGGCTATAAATTGTTATTTAAAATGGATTATCTTACATTTTCCAGCTGATGTGCACACCTTCAATGCACTGATCAGAGCAGCCCCATATCTAAAGGAGAGGTTCACAGAAAGATGGGAATTAGCCAAGGTAAGGAGGGTAGAGCAGAAGAGATGGGGAAGTGGATAAGGGTCTGCCTCATTAGTAAAATTTTGGAGTTGTTGAAAGACCAAAAGCAAGAATGTTGTTCCCAGATTCTAATTTCTGCTGTAAAGGATGTACAGTAGTTTAAACAGAAAAGGTAACTGGAAGAGTGGCAAATGTGAAAAATTCAACCTTGCCTTTGCCAGAGTGATTAGCCTTGTGAGAACATACCTGATCCAGGAACCGCCTGGATAGAAAGTAACTGGGGAAATTACTGCTGGGAGACAAAACAAATGAACAATTCTAGATAAAAACTCTTTGAATTTTAATTCATGGTGTTGTGACAGAAATGGAATGTTGAGTTTTGACACATCAATAAGGAAAAACTTTATGTAACTATAAAATTTTTCCACTATGTTCTAAGGTTTCCACTATGTTGTCCAAGATTTATTCTGATGTAATGTAGCCTTGGGTTTAGGTCATTAAAAATTAGACAGTACTCCTTTAATAAATAATCAGTGAAAGCAGAGTTTTTCACTTGAAGGGGATGAGAAGGCTTGGGTTGAGGAAATGTATGATAACCCACCTGAAAGCTGAACTGTGATCCTTAACATGTGCAGCACTAAGGATTTGAGCGTTTTGTTTTAAGGACTTCCTGACTCACATGGCTCAACAGAAAGTGCAACCAACTCTGCTAACTTTTAATTCCGTATTGAAGAGTCTGAGAAGATGTGGTGGTGTGGGCAGAACTATGTCTTTATTGGTATTAAAGGAAATGGAAGCACTTGATATAGGTAAGAGAACCTATAGAGAGTATTTGTTATATGCAGTGATAAGATATTCCAGTGCCACCTTCAGAACAGAACAGCTAACACAGGGTTTCAGCACCACACAACACAGTGATGATTCCCTGATTCCAGGGGACATGTACTTCACAAGCCACCCAAGCCAGTTCAGGTCTGTAGATCTGCATCTCTACAGAAAAAAGCCTTTACTCTAGATGATGATTTTCTCTTCCAAATAAATATTGCAGAAACAGAAAATATCCGCATAATTGATTTCACATCCTGTGGGTTGTGTTTTGCCCCAGTAGCATGCTTGTTGATAGGCTAAAGATTACATTCATGAGCAGAAGGGAAACTAGCTATGAAGTATTTTTTATTTTAATTTAGAGCAGAGAAGCTTGGCTGCTCCCCCATAGAAATTGAATGCCCCAACTGGTGTTGTATATCACCTCTCCCAGGCATGTGTACTTGAGGTCTGGTCTAGCATTAGGGTGGGCGGGCAGAGATATTAGATTTATTGTTTATTTATTAAATTTATGCATGCTGCCTTATAGGAGGAGCAGACTGTGAATTAGAGCTGTAGCACAAAGCTCTGCCAGGAATGTTGCAGTAACTGTTTTTGCTTTCCAGAGCCCAGCCTTGCATCCTATGGTCATCTCCTCTCCATGTATTACAAAGGCGGTACGTGCACTATCAGCTTGGCCATGAATGTGCCTTGTGTAGCAGCTGCTTTGATGCTTTTCACATGTGATGGGTGAAGGCAGTTCACTTATGGATTGAAAGACAACCTTTTATGGGTGTGATCTTAGTGTTCCCTGTGCTGCCTGATTCTGCTTAGGTGAAAAAAGGGATAACCTCATACAGGGAGAAAATGCTAGAGTCACTGTGGAGGCTGGATCTTACTGCAGTGTGTGTGATTTCATACTGTGCCACTCACAGGGATGAAATTGCACAGGGAGTTAGTTTCCTGCAACAGTTCTGTGCATTAGAGCTGTCATGGAAAACAGCTTTGTTAGAAGACAGGAACACAACTGGTTAAGATTCCATGGCCACAGACTTTTGGCTATAGGAAGATATTAGGCAGAGTAGTCATAATTGCAGTCTTTGTGTTTTAAGAAACATAAAGGAATTTCTCTGGAGTCTCTCTGGGTTTGGTTATGGGGTTTGGGGGTTGGTTTGGTTTTGATTTTCCCCTTTTTAAATTTTTGTTTGGTTATGAAATGCTTTGCTTTTTCCAGTGCAGCCTTCTAACAGATAGTCTTCTAGGCCTGTTTGATTCCTTACTAGAAGGCACTTCTATCTTTCTGAATCTGCCCTGCTGTGCTGTGGAAATCTGGCAATAGGAGGGCAAATTTTAGAGCAAATTAAATTGCAGCTGGTGTGGAGCACCATGGAAATTACATTTGTTTAAAATGATGTTTGTTCCCAATTTCAGATTGTATTTGCAGTTATGCTCTTCACTAAGGAGGTGCTTGGTACAGCTGAGATGTGATGTTTGTCTCTTTGTCCCACAGTCGATGCTCAGTCATCAGATATCATCTCTGAGGTGTTAGATGAGGTTGAAAAGCGAAGTTTCACTGCCCAGGACCCTGATGATGGTAAGGACTTCAAGCTTGGGTGAAAAGGTACCTGTGAATGTCAGGTGGTTTTACTCAGCTAGTATAAATGCATGCAGCTTGCTTCTCTCAGTCCCTTCTGATATTTCTGGAGACAAAGGGCAAATTCTAGTGGTGGGAATTGTGCTATGCATTGCTGCACTGGCTTCTGTGTGAAAGTAGGTGTGTAGCTTGTGTGAATGGGCTTTTTTAAGTCCATGTGATAAAAAATCCTAGGGTTATTTACAAGATCATTTTAAGGAGGAGCAGTTTCATGAGATGATGCACATCAGGTGAATGGCAGGTTTTTGTTGTTTTGGTTTTTTTTTTGTTGTAGGTGTGGTGTGAGTTTTCCTATTTTAGTTCACCCAACTCATGCCACACCAAAGACTTCCAAGAAAGCAAAGAGCTCTGTTATATTGTCAAACTGAGCTACAGATTGAGTTTCTAATTGAATATACCTCATCCATCCTCTGGGAGGTTGGGTTAATGAGCTGTTTTATGTCTACTTGGAAGCTTGAAATTAACAGACTCTTCTTTGCTCCCTTTCAGCCAGCTTTTTTACCACCGCCATGCAAGTGGTAAGTGCCTCTTCTTTGCCATCAGAATTCCTTTGAGCCCCTTCAGCTGTTGGAGAACTGCCTGTGAGTTTACATCCTGTCATACAAGATTTAGCTATCACTGTCTCCCATTTCATCTGTGCTCATCACCTCCTGTGACTTTCTGCCATAATTCTCCAGTTCTTTGCTTGACTCCTCCCTAATTGGTAATTTGCATGGCTGTGACATGTGCAAGTACCTCTGAGTATTGTGAGTTACATTGGGTAACAGCTTTCAAATCGGACTGGTTTATTGCAGTGCTGTGATCTTAAGGATATCAAGCTTGCCTATCAGTTAAATAAGGCACTGGAGAAGGGAGACAACTGGAAATTCTTGGATGTGAATCAGTTAAACAGCTATTGGTGAGTGAAGTGAAGGTTGTATTTAGCACCTTGTGTGTTGCTGTCAGCTTCAATACAAACTAGGATTCAGGCACTGAACACCAGCTGGTTATTTTATGTCTGGTTTGGGAATTAGATCCTTCATAAAACCTGTGATTGTTTAGGATTTATTTTCATTTTGTGGCCTTTGAACTGAAATCCATTGTCTTGAAGCATTAGTTCATCTCAACACCCATACAGCAACCATTCTGTTGTGTATCCTGGCAGCTTTGGAGGTATCACCAAATCAGTGTAATTTCTTCATGTAGGGTTGTTTGACTAGTCAGTTCGCTGGATCAAGGACTCAGGCTTGTCTTGTGAACTTGTACAAGTAACAAGGTTAATTTACTTCAGTTCTTATAGCCAAAAGTTGCATTTGAGACAGATTCAGGTATCTTAACAATGGAGTTCTGCCAGTAATGTAGTGTCAGCATTAAGCTGTTGTAAGAAACACTGCTGCTTTTCTGATTGCATGGAGTGTTGCAATCAGTAAAATTTATTTGATCTGCAATACAGATCTGATGAGCACATCATCATTTGCTGGTACTTCTGTATGGTTTGGTTGATCCAACCATAACTGAATTAGGACATTTTTTTCTCTCTAGGTCAAAATTCTTTTCGTTGTTGTGCATGATGGAACAAATTGAGGTGGTGTTGAAGTGGTACAGAGAAATGTCATCTTCAGTAAGTTTGTACCAGGGTAAGAGCTGCAGAACTTTTGCATAGAAAAATGGAGCAGTCACAGGTGGCTGAAATTATTCTCTCCCTCCATCAGCTTTTTTATCCAGGACCTAAAAATATATTGGACCTCCTTCAAGCACTGGATGCAGCCAACCAGTTGGAAGTGATCCCTTCAGTCTGGGAAGGTCAGTGATGGCCATATGACTTCACAGGCAGTTTATATGACAAATGCCAGGAGCAGTGCAAAGTTTGAGCTAGTTTGGAAACTTCCCATAGCATAGAGTAGCCATGATAAGGTGCAGTGTTTGCCTGTGGTGTCGAATCACCTAGACCCTCTGCAGATCCTTGGTTAAGATTTAATCTATCCCACCTCAAAAAAAAAAAATAAAAAAAATACAAGTCCTTAATCCTCAGCTGATGGTGGTGGAGCATTCTGGCTCTGGGGGATTGTGGGCCTCACTGTCCAGCAGCTGTTCAGGTCCATGTTCCCTCAGAGGACTGGTAATTGATGTTACAGACAGTGCTGTGTGTTGTTCCCTCCCTGTTCCATGAGAGGGTCATCACCACCACCAGGTTGGTCAGTGCTGGGGACCCTGAAGGCCATTATCAAGGGGAGAGTAGTTGGGCTGTCACCCAGAAATCTTGAGACCAACAGGGAAGGGAAGAAGAAATCAGATTAGTTCATGTGTTTGGTGCACAGGATTTGATAAATGAGGGGAAAGAGGGAACTGAATGTGACCTGCTCAGTCACAGAGAAGGGTTCTGCCTTGTTAAATTGTGCTGACTATAATGCTAGGATTTGGGAACAGGGGTACTGGTCACACCTACCAACAACAGATATTCTCTATATACAGATGTGAAACAGCTGGGGTTTAGCAGGAGACGAGACCTGTTGGAAGAGTTCTTATCTTTGATGAGCAGGGACCAGCACCCCAGTGAGGTAAGGAAGCTGGTAATGCCCATGAACAGCTGAGCCCCCACACAGCTGCTTGCTCACTCCTCCCCTGTGAGATGGTGGAGGGAACTGGGACAGTTAAAAGGGTAAAGCTCAAGCTCAGTTACCATTTCCCATCACAGGCAGGTGTTCAGCCATCCCTAGGAAGGCCAGGCTCCTGGAAAGCTCATGTGTAAGTTACTTGGGAAGTCAAACACCATCACTTCAATCCCCTGTTCCTCCTTTCCCCAGCTTTATGTGCTGAGCATGACACCTGTGGTCTGAAATATCCCTCGGGTCATTTAGGGTCAGCTGTCCCAGAGGTGTCTCCTCCCAACTCCTTGTACCATACACATTGTGCACCCCCAGTTCACTCCCTGGTGGTGGAGCCTTGATGCTCTTTAAGCACTGCCCAGCAAAAACAAAAACACCCCTGTGTTATCAACACATTTTCCATCTTAAATATAAAACACAGCCCCATGTAAGCCCACAGGAAGAAAGAAGAAACTGAAGAAATTTCACTCTATCCCAGCACAGAAGCTCAGTAAAGAGTAGTGATGTCTCCCAAGACTGTAGGTAAATACTGTAGCCTTGGGATCCTTGGGAACTAGAGATCCAGTTCCAGTGCATCTGCCACTGCAGATTCCCAGATCCGTGTGAGCTTATCCAGGCCTGCTAAAAAACCCTTTGGATTCAACCTGTAGAGAAACCTCAAATTAACAGAGCAGAATCCCTTCTTACCAGGGTTTGGAGAAGTAATGCAGCCCAACCATCCACATCTCTGGGGAAGCACATGGCAGAATTCAGGGATTTTGCCAAGGATTTCATTGCAGGAGTTGCTTTCTCAAACTGAAGGGTATTGAAGGCTGTCCCTGCAAAGCCACCTTAGAGCTTGCCTAGTGGGGACAGCCATCCTTACAGAAGAGACAGATTTATCTCCTGGGGTAACAACTATTAATTTACAAATTTCTATCACATACAGAGCAAGCCTGTAGGAGCTGCAGGAGAAATCGCACTGCAAAGCTTCTGTTAATTTCAGAGGTTTTGGTATTAATAGCACAATGTTTTCACAGATTCAGCTGGCATTTGCCAAGTGTGCTGAAGAAATCAAAGCTGTTCATGAGCCTGCTGGGCCAGCGCAGGTCCCATTGGAGTGGACAGGGAGTGCTCTGGGCCATGTTGTGGTGCTGTTTTCCAGGGCTGGGAGGATCCAGGATGCCTGGTACGTGTGGGCTCTCTGAGCTCTGGGCTTGCTGAAACTGCAGCTCAAGGCTTAGTTACAAAAACCAAAAGCTAATAACCAATGACCGATGCCTTGGAATGCCACTGTAGAAAAAGGGAGGGGATAAAGCCTGCAGGGAATGTGTTGGGTTTTTTCCTTTGTTTTTGTTCCTTCTTAACACCAAGTTAACAGTTTCTGTCTTAAAAATGGTTTAGAAACTAATGTAGTATCTGGTGTAGAGCTTTGTACAGCTGCTTATGGCAAGGTGTGGTCTGACAGTCACTTCCCTGAGCACTGCTGAGTGCCCACAACTCACCATTTTCTGATTTTTAGAACTATTTGGAATTCAAACTGATAAAGAGATTAATTAGTTTAATTAAATTTTAATTAGCAGCAGCCCAAATTAAAATTGTAAATAGGCTATTTTTAGAACTCTAATAGCTAGAATGTACTGTCCTACATGCTCTGAACTTGAAATAAAGGTTAAAATATCTAGCCTCTAATTTAAGGTTCTGAGCTGTTTTCTGTTAAATACAGATGTTCCATGTACAGTGATTGATTTGAAACAAACAAGTATCAACAAAGGAGTATTTTAAAATACTAAAAATATGTTGTGGTTTAAGGGAAGATTGCCACCAGCTACACTTACATTTTCCACAGAGTTTAAGATACTTTGTGTTAAAACTAATCAGTGTAGTTAGCTGGTACAGATTGAATTGCAAGGATACAGCATGGCATCCATGGGAAAGATTGTTTCATGAATTTGTGCTTACCTGTGTGTTGGTGGAGGCTCAACCAAGAGGTTGAGTATCTGTTCCTGTTATGTGGGATTTTGAAATTATTATTTTCTTTTGAATAGGAACATGATGGAGCATTTCCAGAAAATCAATCGGATTCCCACGTAAGTATTTTTAGGTTCTTCAGTTACTGAGTCTCCCCTTTGGCTGAGATCCTGAATTTCTGTTACAGGATGAAAGAATAGTTTGGGATGGAAGGGACTTTTAAAGGTCAGGTAGTCCAACCTTCAATTGTAACTGATAGTAGTGGTCCATTTACTTCCAGAACATGAATGTGTGTCCGTCCCTGTGAGCATGGCTGTTAATTTATCCAGTGGAAGTATTCCAAGAGCTTTCTGTCCCAAAACACATTGAAAGTGCAGAGTGGGAGGGCATGAAGTGGTTGGTCTCTGAAGCTCTGAGCCATGAAGAGCAGTGCCATTGATGAACTCATCAGTGCAAATCAGCCTGAGCAGGACTCCCAAACATCTGGTTTCTGTTTTCCTGGTGTCAGAAATATTCCAGCATGCTCTTAACCAAGCACGGATGTTTCAGAGGTGCCTGGATTTCTACAGACAAGTTTATCAAGTCAAATGCTACATCTTAGGTCGTTCTCTATTAGGCTACACCAGAGCTTGCTTGTCTCAGGATTGTGGAGGATGGAACTGTTTGAAGTAGAATGTTTCAGGAGTAGCAATGGGTTTTGTTTGGGTGTGGGTTTTTTTTAAATGAAGTTGGAGCTTGCCCCAGTGAACACCATGAAGGTGTGTGGTACCAAAGGCTACACACCTAGTGGCACTCAGTGCCTGCTCTCTTTTGCTGGGACAGGAGTTCCCAAACTTACCACATAGCCTTCCCTCTGAACCAGAGCTGAATTTCCTGGCAGGAGCAGAGATGGACTGGTAGATCTGAAATTATCACCTTCCTCTCTAAAGTACAGGCTATAAATTAATGGGCACCTCTCCTGTGACCAGTCACCATTTGCCTTTGCCTTTGCAGTGACAAAGTGATGGATGAGTTCTTGAACTGTGCTAAGCAAACTAATTGCCCAGATGAGGCAATTAAGATGGTAAAGCTGGCAGCATCCCTTGGGCTTCTTTCATCTCAAAGGCTGAAAAGCAGAACAGAGGAGGAATTTGAACTCTCTGAAACACAGAAGTAAGTTGGAATATTTCATGTTACTGTTGAAGGGGTACAGTAAGCCAGGGTCTTGGAGGGGCAGTGCATTTGGAAAGGCTTCTCTGACAAGGGAGCAGACAATTGGCTTCAGAATGATGTGCTGGTGTGCTGACTCCAGGACTGAAATGGCCCTTGAGTTTTCGGTTCCATGCTGTATCCATCCCACATAGGAGGGAAGGGAATTTTGCATGGTGGGGTTAGCCTTATCCACTGCTCAGTCTTGCTATCACCTTTCTTTCCTGGAATGTTTTCCTAGCTGGGTCTTGCAGCCTGAAGAGACACTGCTGCAGCCCAGCAAAAGCAGGGGGGTGGTACAGGATGGCCCTGCATGTGACTGCCAAGTTCTGAGGCTTGTGGCCACCTCTCACAGCACTGCTCCAGCCCAGCCCAGATGATCCTCAGATGGTGGTTGGGCTTGAGGGACCACAGTGTGGAGCCAGATGTGCTCCAAGGGAATAAATACAAGCCCAGCACCCCTGACAGCCAGCTCACCACTTTGAGGGGAACTGGCTTTTCCAAGAGAATGTGCTTCCACCAAATGCTGGGTGCACTTGTCCTTTGAGGACAGTAGGCATTAGAGAGCCCATACCTGTTCTCTGTGTTTGCCATGCGTTTCGGGATCTCTTTTCAAGCAGAAGCCACAAGAGGTGACTGATGACTGATCTGTTTGACACCACAGGAAGGCACTGGAGAGTATCAAGTGGGATGGTGACAGCAGTGACAGTGACAGCGACAGTAGTGACAGCGACCGTGAGTAGCTGTCCCTCTTGGGAAACGGGGCACAACCATTGCCATGACACCAGGAGGCTTTGGAGGAGTGGAATTACTTCTGGGAGGTGCTGCAGCACTGATGAACACTCGGGGTGTTCTGATACGAGACCTGCTTGGCAAGATACCATCCTCAGGTGCCAGCTGGAAGCTGTTAAATCTTGGTGAGGTAGAACACAGTGTGGGCTACCCTGGGTCTCCTCCCCAGCACCCCTGCAAGAGCTGGCTCCTGTAAACAGCATCACTGAGGCTGCAGGGTGCTGTGTACCCTGCAGGCTGGCACAAGACTTTCACAGCTTGAGCAAGATTTCTTGTGGGCCTCCTGTCACTTGACACTGCACCGGATATAATTGCTTTCCATCTAATTCTGCTGAACTATTTAAATATTGAGTTTACTCTGTATATAAACACTGAAGTAATGCAATACCCAGCACCTGTGGTGTTATTCCTCATCCTTTTGGTGTTTTGGGACAGGTGTTGGGAGTGTACATGTTAAACTACACTTTGTACAGCTGGAGACTGTCTCTAATAAATGGCTGACATAAAAGCTGTCTGTATTCTGATAATCCTTGAACAAAACTGTGGTTGAATCAGTTTACCTTTGATACAAATACCTGATGTTCTAGAACTACAGCAGAGCAGCTCTGACAAGAAACAGAATGTGCTCTGACACCAGTTTTGTACATATCCTGTACTCAAAGATGGGTTCATTTTTTTAATGCTGTACAAATTAAGAAATCACAGCAGTGAATTCTTGCTTTCTTGCTCCTTGAAAGAAGTAGGTTAGAATTTCAGCTCTTCAGGTCATGGAGAAAGACTGAGCTTTTGTACTGCCCAGCTGTAGCTGATGTTTAAACAGGAGACTTAAACAGCAGGAACAAGTGGTTGAAGTCTTGTTTTATTCAGCTGACAAAGTGGCAAATGATTAATGGCAGGTTACAAACATTATTTTGGTTGGATCACAAGCCCACTTGTAAGATGGGGAAACATTAATTCTTACACAAATTGTAGGGAAGCTTCCTGAAGTTGGTTGTCAGGACAACTCAAAACCAATAAAAATACAACAGGTGGTGAAATTAAATACAGTGCAAGGAAACAAGACAGTACCCGTGCTTTGATTTACCGCTTCCAGCCCCTGCCAACAGCTCTGTTTGAACCCTCAGGAGATCGTGGGCTTTCTCTGGCACTGAACAGCTGAACTGCCTCCAAAGCTCCAATCCTAGCTCACTGCACTTGGGTTGTTCCCAACCCCACAGCACTGGCGTATGCTGTCAAGATATCCACAATCTGTTTGGTTTCTAGGGTCATCCGCGCTTCCGTGAGCCAGTCGTGTGCCACCCTCCTCGACTCTCCTCGTAACTGGTTGACAAATTTGGCTGCCAGCTCCAGATCTCCCTGTTCGATGCAGTAGGAAGCATAAGACAGTAACTTAAACGTGTCGAGGTCGTCGGGGCTGAGCTCAGCCGGTGGCTTCAGCTGCTGAGGGTGGAACACCAGCAGCGACTGCACGTAGGACAGGAAGTACTGGTACAGGCTGTTCCTCGTCTCGTCGATCATGGCCACTCGTTTTGCCAGTTTTTGGACCGTGTGGAACCGTGCTCTGAGGGCCTCCTCGCTGTACACGCCCCGTGTCAGGGACTCCTTGGGGAGAGCTGCTATTAAGGCTTCCGTGAAGGCGTTGTCGGCGCAGCTGGCCTGGATGGCCCTCACCGCGCTCCCCAGGGGCTCCGTGGGACCGTCCCCCGTGCCCGATCTCATGCAGTATTTGAGCGCCTCCACGGAAAGCCACAGCTGATGGGCCTTCCTGGCCTCCTCTTCTGCTACTGCGTGACCTGCAAGGGAAGCCAAGAAGGGGCTCTCAGTTGGGCACACGTGGCTTTGAGAACAAGCAGCAACAGCCATCCCTCTCCTCCCTCTGCTTTCCAGAGCAGCTGCCCCTCTGCACATGCTCTAAAGCAAGTCTGTCCCACAGTTTAGAGCCAGAACAAGACAACTTTTGGAAGGACCACTTCTGATTGCTCATTGGGGTTTGCTGGCTGCTCAGCAGTGTGAGCTGTGTGCCTAAGCCTGGGTTTAGATGCCCAAGTTCAGGCAAGGGGACTTTGGGGAACTCAGTTTTAGTCCTTAAAGACAAAGAAATTCAGTGCTCACTCTCGACTGCTTGCTCAATTCCCTTCAGCCTGGCATAGGCAGTGTTTATATCCAAGGTGAAGTTGTCAAGCTGTTCCTGAGTAAGGCGTCTGAACTGCATCTCCTGTTCACTGAGCTTCTCTGATAGGTTCTGAAACAGAGTGTAATACAAGTAACAGAAAACAGCTGGTAAATAATATCTACCTTATTTTTAAGACACATTTATAGATGTATATATATAATATTTATATTATATATAATATATATAATACATATTTATTATATTGTCCTTGTTTGGGCCCATGCATACAGTAAATGCACTATACCAGTAAGAAACCTTATTGGCATGAATTTAACAGTTACCGCAATTGTGTCAAAAATTTATCACCTATAGCAAAAGCTTTTCAGACCAGTCTGAATAAAACCTACACATTGAGGCACTCTATCACTTCAAGGTAAGCTTGCTTCCCTCCCCAGCCCCCATTTCAGTCCCCTGGAACACGGTTCAGGGCTCTTGTCACATGAAACGTGTGCTTTGCAAGGGTTTAAGTATCCCTTTAATTCCCCTGGGGACTGCTCTCTCTTACCTGCTCAAATTCTGTCTTCAGATCCTGCTCCTGGATCTTCAGGACATCTCTGAGGTGGTCGGTGTGGGCAGCAGCCTGGCGCCGGAGCTGGGTCCGCATTTCGCACTCCATCACCTCCCGCACCTCTTCCACCTGGACATGCACCAGGGGTGTAATGCACCAACAAGCTCAGCTGCTTGTCACACATTGCCACAGTATCACATCAGTGGTTACTGAGGGACACTTCAGAGCAGTGGCACAGACAGAGCCTTTCATTTTAAAGACCTGCTGAGGTCCAGTTTTACAGCTGAGCCTTTTGCTAAAGATTTTAAGGAATAGATTTGTGGTTCACCATGTGAGAACTGCTGGTTACTTAGTAAGCACTTCACACAGCTATCAAAATAATATATAAAAAATACAGAACATGTCAAATCAAACACTCAAAACACTGGAAGCTGGTTTATAAATGAGCTTCCAAAACAATGAGACTTTACCTTTTCCCTATGTAGCCCTATAATGGCCACACATGGTCAGATCCAACAATGAAATTCTTTTCAGTGAGGGTGGAAAGGCACTGGCACAGACTGCCCAGAGAAGCAGTGGCTGCCCCAACCCCTGCGCAAGATCATGCTGGATGGGGCTTGGAGCAACCTGGTCTAGTGGAAAGTGTCCCTGCCCATGGCAGGAGGCTGGAAGAAGGTGATCATGAAGGTCCCTTCTAACCAAATAATGTATTTTATTTAGGATTACCTAGGATTTATTTTGATCCAGTAATCCTATCTCCAACAGGAGACAAGTAACTTCACAAAGTCATTCCTTGTGTGATTTTACCATTCCAACTTTGCAGCCATTTCCTTGCTCAACATCTCCTTTCCATGTTTAGCCTGGGGGTCACCTATGTGAAGTTTCCCACTACCCACAACATCCAAGTTGTCCCTTTGGGTTTTTCCATTAACTCTTCTCCCTCCTTTTTGAGCCTAAGATTTAACCAGGTCCTTTAGGCCACCTTACCTTCTTCTCCTGTTCTAGTTCAATCTCATTTTTGTGACGCTCCAGCGCTTTGGCCACGGCTACCTCAAAAGCTGTTTTATCTTCAAGTTTCTGTTTCTCCAGGGCAGACTCGATGTGCTGCTGCTCCCGGACGCGCTGCTCCGCCAGCTCCTTGTTGAGCTGGTCGATGCGCCGGTGGGCGTGTGCGATCAGGGAGTTCAGGTCATCTGTGGACAGCTGCCCAGCTGAAGGAAACACAGGGCATGAGGGAGGGACTGGAAACCACAGGGAATCCACTGCAGTGCCCTCCCACCTCCCACTGGAGCACTCTGGGGCTCCAAGCAGTTATTGATTCGTGAGCTTGCTCTAGGGAGGGTCTCTGAGCACTTCAAGCCCTTGACCTCTTCTAATGCCCACCTGAGACCACTTCCTGAACTGCATTTTCATTCCAGGAGAGAAATTATCTTGGTTTCTTCCAAAATATTCCCAGCTGTAATTTGCACTTCCATTCCATGTCACACTCAGAGACTGGCAACAGCTCTGTAATTTCTTGGTTTTTACACCACCACTTATTTTCACCTCTGCCAGCACACAGAGCAGCAGGGAATGTCACTGTGACGGACGTACAGAATTACATTTTCTCTTCAACAGACCTCAAGATCAAGTGCTCCTAATCAGATTCCTTACCCCAGGTTTTACCTTTCAGGTTTGGCTACTCAGAGGGCAGCACAATTCATAATCACATTGGAGAGGAGGACCAAAGCTACCACTGCAGCATTTGGTGACCTGAGAAGGGCTTTATAAAATGCTGCAGATCATTTTGCAGTGGCTGCCAGTTAAATCATCTGTATGGAAAGCTGGGACTATTTGGGGAAAGCATTCCTGCAGGGTCTAAAGCATGACTGCACAGTCCTTCATCACCTTGCTGTTGAGTGCTGGACAAAGGACTGGCACAGAAGGACTTGGAGCAGTGGTGCTCATTGTCCAGTGGGAAAGCTGACCAGCAGCACCAAGCTCAGCTGTTGGATGTAATGGTGTTACAAAAAGATCAGTTTGTGGTTTAAGCAAAGTGTGTAAAATGGACTGGAAAGGATCCCAAGGCATACCTCAGCCTGAAATAGTCTAGCAATGCCACATTTCACCCTTTGTTGATAACTGCCTGTAACTTAAAGCCATGCCCCACACAAACATAAAGAAGGACAAAGAGAAGCAATAACTTTAAAGGGACGAGAACAAGTGACAGTAACTCACCTAAGTCAGTTATCTCTGCAACAGAAAGAAGTTGGGAAAGTTAATGCACATTCACTACAGCAAGGCAGTCATGCAAAAGTAAAATAGAAAACTAAGAGCTTATCTACAGTGACTTAAACATGAGACCAAGTCCTTAGGAATTAAGGAAGAACAGTGTGTGGAGTATAAAAGTCTCTGTATTACAGGCAAGATGTAGCCCAAGACACCCCAACCACTAAAATCACCCTTGGAAACCCACAGATGGACACTTGAATTCAGCCCAAGCAAGGAACAGAAGTCTGAAGTGGGAAAGTGCAACAGGACATTGGAAATTTTAGTCTGACATTTTTAGATTCTTACAGAACCTAAAACTTAAACAGAAGCAGTTGGTCACCAGTAAGAAACAGGGCACATGGAAGCTACCAGGAGCTTCCCTTTCCTCCCACAGAAAGGCAGTAATCACAAAACCCAAGATTTTTGTCCTGTGCAAGGAAAGGCAGCTCCATTCCCAGGGAGCCTGAATAAGTTTTTTTTTATGCAGAACTAGCAACACCTCAAAAGCAAACTCTACAAACTATTGGCTAATTTCAAATGTTTTCCCCACATATACTGGGTGTGGGATTGGCCGTCTTTAAAATGAAAACTGACCATTTCAAAGGTCTGGTGTAGTCATTTAGCCAGGAAAATTATTTTGTGGACT